TGGAAGCCGCCAGAATGCCTGGAAACACACGCAACCAGCAACTGCATTTCATCCCTCTAGGGAATCTAACATTTCTCCTCAATGGTCATTTCGATCCTTCAGAGAGAGAGGTGATACTCACGTGACTGTTGTGTGTGGGAGTTGCTGGTTCGTCGTTTCTCTGCGGAGACAGAATTAGAAAAGGAGAGCTGGAAGAGATCCCAATGAATCAAGCCTTTTGCAACATAGAAAACCCCAGCCATGTTCTTCCTAAGTCTTCTTCTGACTACTGCCAGGAGTAATTTGAGACAGGATCCACATAGGGGACCCTGGAAATCTATTTTTTTCCAAACAAATATGCAGACAACTTCCAATGTCATGTGCTGGACTGCCTGGAAGTATGGAAGAGTTTCCCCCAGAATCTGGGGCCAGCCAGAGCTCATGGGGGAAAGGAAAGAGCCCCTTAAATTAATAGTAAAAAAAGATATGCAGGCTGTTAAATTTCAGAAGCATCCCCAAGACCTCACTAGAGTTAAATATATTGAGAATCCTGGTGAAAATCCTGGCAGTGGAAAAGAGACGCCAAACCCAGAGACACTCCGGAGCCTTCCAGCCCCTGGGATTTGGGTCTTCTGTTCCAGACTTCACAGGTTCACTATCAGGCAGGACCCCAGGTGAGAAAATAGGGAGCCTGATTCAAGGTGCTCTGTGGTGGCTGGTGGACTTTGGGGTGCCGCTGCAGTCCTGGGGGTTCCCTCTCCAATGTGGGTGGACACCGGGAGGCCGTTCCCGCGCAGGGGGCAGCGACCCACGGCCTTCCTTCGGGTCTTTCCCTGCTCCTGCTCCTGAAGCTACTTTCAGGGAGGCGCCTTTTGGGGCTGCCTCCTGCATGGAGGGGCCACGATCCACCGTTTCTTAGTGAGGGCCACCGACAGAGTGACGCATGTCCACATGCAGCCCAGCAAAGGCAGCCCCAGCTTACTTACTCATGACGATGCCTGCAAAAACCAGCAGCAGGAGAACCAAAGCCCCTGTGACGGCTCCTAGAATGATCCACATGTTCCCTGAAAGGGGACAGACACACGTCTGGGGCAGCGGCAGCCGTCCCAGCCGAACGCAGAGACCCTGCGTGCCCCCCTCCTGCTGCAGCACTCGCCCCCCAGGAACAGCACAATGGCGGTTTGCGTTCCAAATTCGGCAGCAAACCCCCGTAGAGAGGAAAGCGGCCATTCAGAAGCTTGAGCCACTTGCTGCCTTCTTTCAGTGGCAAACTGCCCACGTTTTGGCCACAACTCCGCCAAATTTCCGCAGTGTAGGGGCAGCGGCGGCAGCAGCACCATGCAAGGCCACGTCCCCCCAGGCCACATATTACCCCCCCAAGGCTTGTCTAGCTATTCAGTCCTGCATGGCTTTTATTAAGGAAGGCATCGCATGGCCATCTGCAACGGTCCAACTTTGGGCATCTGAGGGCTGAACTGGCCCCATCCTTGCCGTGACTTCAGCCAGAGACAGAGCATCTCCTTCCCGGGACTAATCTTCCAACTCTCCTGCCAAGAATCACCCCCTCCCTCCCCATTAACTTCAATCCCTTGCTTTGCACCCCAAACCACACATGGGGCTCCTTTTGGATTCTCCCATCTCTCTCAGGGGAAACACAACTTCCAGCGCCCGACCTGCCCCTTCTCCCCCCCGCCAGCCATCTCTCACCCGCAGGCCCCTCCCAGGCCAAGGCCAGAGGCTGCGACAGGCCGGCATGGGCCACACGGCACCGGTAGCGGCCCCGTTCCTCGGGCTCTACGTCCGTGTAGAGTGAGATGTAGTAAGTCCCATCCGGAATGGGGGCCACACGATTACAGAAGGTCCCATGTTCCCAGTTCTCCCCGTCTCTGGTCCAGGCGGCTTCGATCTCCTTGGGGTAGAAACCGTGGGCCTGGCAGACAAGGGTTTCCACGTTCTCCGTGGATGACTTTTGGTGAGTCACCTTCACTTCGGGGGGCTCTGCAAAGTGGGCAAACTCGATGCTATTACTGCCAGCAGAATCTCTCCAGTGATGGGCAGAATGGGGCATATCTGAATAGCAGGTCAGGATTTCATGGGGCCTTCTCAATGCTCTCCCGAGAGGGGCTGCCCCACACCTTCAGCATGCCCAGAAAACAAATCTTCCAAAGAAAGGAGTTCCCAGGCACCCAAATATTTTCTGTTTTTAAATGTTTTGAACATGCTCAAACGGGGACTTGAGGAGAAATCCCTGCCTGGAGCGAATTCGCCCCGCCACCCCCTCCATCGAAGGGCGGGAGCAGCGCGCTGGCTCCCCCAGAGGGTCAGGCTGGAACTGCAGCTCTTGGTGCTTTGATGTGCTTTGTGGTTTCATGCTGCTTAAAAGCCCTTTTAGCATGGCTGCTCTGTCCTGCTCAATACTATTGTTACCTGTATTTCTGGTTGGTTTAGAACATTATGTCATGCCTAAAGACGTCAGGATGCGATTGTACTAACATTATCTGGAAACTTAACACTCTGTAATCGTGCATGTGACAAGCAGGTCATAAAAGTCTCTGCACATGGGCTGTGGCTTTGTAGTTGGNGACAGTCTGGGAGGGGATGCCATCTCAAGATTGCCATCGAGCCTGTTCAGCCTTTCAGATCCAGAAAAACACGATGTGCTCAGCGATTTTTGTATGTTTTATAGGAAGCTGCTGTACCAAAGCATTCTACATTTAGCAATCTTTCCCAATTGAAGAAACTCTGCACATGCTCAGATACAGTCAGCAGGGGCGTTAAACTTTTTAACCAAAGTACTCTGATACTTTTTGACTTCTGGGCAGGATGTAGAGAGTGAAAATCTGGGAGGGGCATTCAAAAGAAGAGCTCCCCCCCAGTGCGGGCTGAAGTGGTACGCTCCTGCCCTCTTCCCGCTCTTCTGCCCAGTGATGAACAAGGGGAGGGGAGAAGGACTGCCCCCCAAGGCACCTCCGTCTCCCCACACACCTGTCCTTTGCAGGGTCTCCTTGCCGTACTCCAGGTATCTCCGCAGCCACTCCACGCACTCCCCCTCCAGGTAGGCCTTCCATCCCTGAGCAATGGCAGGTTCGGCCTCCCACTTCCGCTTGGTGAGCTGGGCTGTGGCATCGGCCGCCGTCCACCTGAGATGCTCCTTGTCCAGGCTGAGGAAGTCCCTCCCGTCGTAGCCGAACTGCATGTACCCTCCTTTGCTCCCATCGCTCCTCAGCTCACAGCCGAACATCCACTGCAGGGTGTGGAGCCCTGGAAGAGACAGGCAGGAGATGGGGGGGGGGGTCAGACAGGGCTGCTCCCTCCCGATGCCCTTCCACCGGGGTTCTCTGCCCCGGTCCATGTACACTGTGGAAGACAAACCCAAGCGAGCCAGCGAGCTCTGCCGGGCCTCCTGCTGGGTCAGTGTGTGGAGGTGTGGCGGCAAGTCGGTCAGCCTCTGCCCTGCAGACCCCGGAAGCATCTTGGCCACGAATGGGGGGGGCTTCCACAAGGAGGCCCCGCCTGCCCGGGACGCCTCCCCTTCTCCCCCTCTCTGCTCTCTGTGGAAAGGAAAGCACACAAGCAGCAGTGGAGCAACGTGGGGGTCACAAGAGGAAGTGGACGGGGCCCCCTGCACAGGGGGGCTGCTGGAGCTGGAAGCCGGGGGCAGCTGCAACACCCCAAACCGGTCCCAAGGCCCATCCTGAGCAGGGGACCAGCAGCGCCACCTCTTCCCCCCACCCCCCAGCTCCAGGGTTACAGCAACCGGGGGAAGAGGGTCGAAGCAACCCGGCTGCCTCGGCTTCCTTGGTGCCCCCCCCCCACAGCACGCGTGAGCCAGCAAGCAGCGAGCGGCTCCCTGGAAGAGCCAGTTCAGGGTGGCAGGGAGCATGCTGGACTGGGGAGGTGGAGGACCCGGTTCGAGCCCCCACTCGGCCCTGACATGCACACGTCGACCTTGGGACAGCCACAGACTCAGCCGGACCTTCCCCACAGGGCCGTCGTTGCTGTGAGGATGCAGCATTGCTGCGGAAACACCCTTGAGCTCCTGACAGGAGGAAAAGCAGCAACTTCATAATAATGGGGCGACGACGGCAGGTAGACTTGCCCCAGGTCCCTTAAAATGAGTTCTGAGAGCACCTTGAAAGCAGGTGTGGCACAATCCCGAGTATCCCTGCTCCACCTCTGTGCGAGGGCCATGGACGTGCCGGTACTGGCAGCCCATCTCGGCCCACTGCAGGAGGGCCACAGGCAAGTCCCAGGCCCCTGCTGGGCGCCCTGCCCCCTCGCCCCCTCCCATATGCTGTGGGACTGCGATGCCGACTCCTCAGGGCGTGTGTCCAGCAGCAGGAAACCTGCTTCCTTCCCGTCTCCGTGGCCGAGTCCACAGTGAGGGGCTTCTAAAAGGGACGAGCGGGACACGCAAGCAGCCTTGGGGAAACCGACAGGGCTGCCCCCGCTGCTCCAGCACCCGGAACCTGGCAGCTGCGTGGCGAGGAGGAGCCGGCCGTGTGGACGAACGGGAGGCATTTGCAGACCTCACGGGGCTCAGCGCAGGTCACGTCCAGAACCACATCACAACACAGCGCAGCTGCTCCCGGACTGTGCAGGGACAAGCCCCCCAGCTGTGGGCAGGGGGCTCCTGGCGGGGGGGCAGGGGCACGGCGGGGGGAGCCTTTCCCCCGTGCTGCTGCTCCCAAGCTCTCCCAGCCCTTGGAGGAGCCCTTGCGACATAAATGCCTGGCCTGGTAGCGTCCTGGGAAGGGGAAGCGGGGCTGTTCAAGTGGATTCAAGGACAGATATCCCATCCTTCGGGATAAAATCCTACCAAGGCAGCTCACAAGTAAAAAAACATACATCACAAAGAAAATTTTAAAATGCCGCTCTGTTAAATGGGGCTTACTCCCAGGTAAAGGTGCCTGGAACTGGGCCAGTCACTTCTCTCCCTTTGCCGCCAAGGAAGGTGGCCCTGGAAGAGGAGGGCACGAATCCTCCTCCTTTCCGGCTCAGCTTGGAGCTTTCGTGCTCCCGGCTATAAAGGGGGACTGGCTGCGCTGCGCCCGGCCTTTGGCTCTCACGGGCGGCTCACCTCAGCCTTGTTCCTGCCACGCTCTTTGCACCCCTCAGAAATGCTCTGCATGGAAAAGTGTTCCAATGAGGGAAATATGGAAGACTGGCCTGTCCTCAAACTAGCAAACCCCCAGAGGTCGCCCCACTTTAGAGGCAGAAGAAACGCATGGAGAAATTTGCAATTATGATCTTACATTCTGCTCTCTGCTGGTCTTTGGCAGAAATCCTGAATCATCCATTTGATGGACGGTCCTTGCTCACAAAATTTTAACAGGTAGGGTAGGGGTGAGACTGCCATCTTCTACTCTCAGTCTAAGCCAGTGTTTTCTAAGCATGTAAAGTGCATCTTTTTTCTTATTACAAAAGTGGGAAAAAATGTCAGGAAGAGAGAAATAGCTGCACAGAGCCCTCCGATGGTGGGGCCAGGGCCACCCCTGAAGTCCCCGTCACAGCCGTTGCAGGCAGCGGGAGGCCTGGCTGGCGTCCTGCCCCTCCAAAGGAAGGTGGCTGCCATCTGGAGGGGAGCTCTCCTCCAAGTGGCCCTGCAGGCTCCCCGGGGCCCAGGATGACGCTGCTCCGGGTCCTTCCCTGGAGGAAGGGGAGGCCTCTTGCGAGCCTTGTAGGGAGAGGGAAGGAGCTGCTGCCCTGGGTGGGGTCCCTGCTTCCCCTTCCTCCCGGCCCCCACTCTCACCACCCCCTTTCCCACAGAAATGACAGACATGGCGGGGGACCTGCCCCCGCCATTCCCGCGCCGCACTCACCCCCGCTCTGGCTGTAGTACTTCTGCAAGGTCGCCAGGTTCGCCAGGGACACCTGCTCAGCGCTCCAGGGGGCCCGGCTCCGCCTGTCCCAGGGCCAGGGACCGTCCGCGTGCAGCTCCATCCGCGGCACCTGAGGCAGCTCCTGCCTTGCGCTGTCATTGAGGTCGATGGGCTGGTCGTCCACGTAGCCCACCTGGACGAACTGGGGCAGCCCCTGGACGGGCTCCGACAAGGCCGTGTGGAAATAGCGCAGCGAGTGGGAGGCGGCAGCTGCGGAGGGCAAGGGGGAGGCAGAGTTGGGGGGCTGCAGCCGAGGACACCCCTGAACACTATGGCCCCTCAGGGATGAGGACACCCTGACGGAGTCCTGTGGGGAGCCCCAGATGCGAGCTGCAGACCAGTTTGCGCAGCCGTGGTTGGTGAGCCGGCCTCAGTGGCTTGACCAGGCCACACGTGGCTGGCCGAGCGGCCCGATTCCCTCCCTGGCCTGCAGCTCATTAGCCACGTCACGCATGCTTGGACAGCGAGGTCTATGGGGGCCACCACATACCAGGCTGTGGGGTGCAGCTGGGCTACCGCCCCTCCCCCAAGCCGGCCAGGCCACCCAGAGGACGAGACGAGGCACACTAGAGAGTGAGCAGAGAAAGCGTCTTCCCCTTGGTGTGATCAGGTGACGCAGCCCATGTGGTTCATTTCACAGAGAACAGGGTGACCACCTGCCTGCTGGCCCAGTTTGCTTCACCAGCCTCCCCACAAGCAGCCCTGTGTGATGCCCAAACCCAGCAGAGGAGGTGCTTCACAAGCTCCCCCACCCCCCATGGGCCGGTGGGGGGTCCCCGCAGGGCTTGCTCAGCCTAGGAGACAGAAGGAGCATCCAGGGTGAACTTGATAAACTTAAATGCTGGCTGAAAGCAACGAATGAGATCCAAAAAGGGCAAGTGCCCAGTATTCCACCTAGGAGAAAGAAAGCAAAGGCATCAACACAAGATGGGGAATACGAGGCTCAACAGAACTGAAAAAGAAAAAAAATCTTGGGAGTAATTGTGGCCATTTAGGCTAAATATGAACCAACAATGTGATGTAGCTGCCGAAAGGGAAAATGCCATTTTGGGATACGTTAACTGAAGTATTACTTCCAAAGTACTTCCCCTATACGCCTCACTGGTCAGACCTCACCTGGAATACTGTGTCCAGGTCTGGGCACCAAGATTTAAGGAAGATGCAGGTAAATTAGAAAGGGTACAGAGGAGGGCGACAAAAATGATGCAGGGTTTGGAAACACTGCCCTGTGAGGAGAGACGGAGAGAACTGGGCATGTTCAGCCTTGAGAAGAGAAGCCTGAGGGGGGACATGAGATCCCTCCATAAGTACGTCAAAGGCTGTCATAAAGAGGAAGGTCAAGATCTCTTCTTGCTGATGCCAGAGTGTAGGATACGGAATAATCAGTTCAAGTTGTGACAGCACAGATTCAGGCTGGGCATCAGGAAAAGCTTCCTCACTGCCAGAGCTAGGCGACAGTGGGACCAGCTGCCTGGAGAGGTGGGGGGCCCTCCCACACTGGAGACATTCAAGGGGAAGCTGGACAGTCACCTGAGTGGGATGGCATAACTGGGTGTCCCGCAACAGCAGGCAGCTGGACTTGTAGAGAAAAATCACCAGAAGGCTATTGTAAATCGAGGTGTTAGGGTGCTGTGGCACAATGGCTCTGCTCTTCCTACCTCACAGAGAACCGCCTCAAAAGGCTTGGCTGAGGGTCTCCGGCATGCAAAAGAATGTTGTTGTCAGCCAGCCTTGGAGTGCTGCAGAGTGCCGTGCTT